TATTCTCCGAGCGCTTGCCAGAGTGGGCCGTTTATAACGAAAAATACAGCCCATTAGGCTCAAAACACAAACTTCAAATTGTCATTTACGGATATTCTGGATCATATTCAACCTATTTTCGAACACCACGGGAATATTTCAAGTTTTGTTGAAGTATCCCTTTAAACGGACAGCTGTACAATTTACAATAGCCAAACCTCGGCATTCTTCACCCTTCGAGCTGAAAAATTTTCTATATCTGTAATAAAATTAGTTAAAGGGATACTTCTACGAAATTTGAAATATACCCGTCGTGTTCAGAAATAGCCTGCATATGATCCACAATATCTGTAAATGATTATCGCGCGCTTGTATTTTGAGCCTAATGGCTTAAGTTTTCGTTTGAAACGGCCCGCCCTGGCAAGCGCTGGGAGAGCAGCCAGTGGCGAGTACGCCTCATCCGGCGCAATTACGACGTAGTATATATCGGGAGAGCAAAACTGCGGCGAGGGTGACGTCTTCAGGATGTTCTTGCCTTTCCAACCACCAAAGTGGTTGAAGCACGCCAGCGATCGGGCCACCGCAACTAACCGCAATGCTGCTTTTGTGTGAATTTTTAGTGACGGCCTAATCTTCTATAATCTTGCAGATGGAGATTAGCGACGTCTGGGACGCACAAAAGACAGTGCCGTTGAGTGGGGAGTTCCTCCCTCCCCTCTCCTCTTGTGCTGGCCGCAGAGCTGTCTGAATGACGTCAGATTCAAAGCATATGTAGTTCTAGGTAAGACAGTTATCTTCACTACCTGTCAAGGTTACTAGACGGGCATTACAAACGATGCTTTAGTGACATCCACCAGGTGCTCTTTGCTACTCCTCTAATTTGTTTTAAAATTCCTGTTCATGGCTCTTTAAACAAGGAAATGGTGTGTCTGATGTGACACTGCTCCTTTGAACACACATAGATAAAAAATAAGCGTCAACAATTTGTTGCAATATCCCTTTAAGACCTTCACATACAGCTGAACGCTTTTCCTACAATAGGGCTTTAACAAATATGTTCACATAAATATAAAAAAATATTAACTGCATTGTGAAATATTAACCGCTCTTGTGAAAGAAGTTACGTCTGTCAGGGCGGATAACGCGTCCTTGCAGATCCATCTCGCAAGGAACACGGAACTGCTGCGTCGCTTGACCACCCAAGACGTCACACCACCACTGGTTTCCCAACAAACCCGTGGCGCCGCAAGTTTTGCTGATGCCGCCCGCAAAGATTCGACTAGCATCGCTGCTTTACAGGGCGCTCGCGATAAACCAGGAAGCCAGAACGGACATACGCGTGGCAACGAACCTGTGCAGTCCTACCCGACCGCTTCAACCATCAATCGACCATCGCGCCAAACGACCGAGGATACTGCAGCAACAGATGCTGATGGATTCACACTTGTTCAACGAAAGCGGAGGGTCAAGCCTTCTTCGGGATCGTGTACAAACAGTAAGCTGGCTTCCGCTCCAAGGCCGCAAAGGCGTAAAGCACTCTTTGTTTCACGCCTTCACCCAACTACCGTGTGTAGTGATGTTGAGGCAGTGCTTGCTCCCATCTTAGAGGATAAGTCATTTAAGTGTACTCAATTGAAAGCCAAACATGACAGCTACTCGTCGTTTCACATCTCTGTAAATGAGGAGGATTTTGAAAAGATCAATACTGATGACGTTTGGCCCATGGGTTCGTTCTTCAGACAATTTTTTGGGCCATTACGGGTTGATGAAGACACTCCAGCTGCAGTGCCGTCCTAACAAAAAAAAAAAAGTGTTCTTTCTTTATGAAGTGTTCTGTATTCTATCAAAACGTTCGTGGACTACGTACTAAGGCCAATACATGTTTTACAAATGTTGCAGTGAGTGATTACGACATAATTTCATTAAGCGAAACATGGTTGAACTGCTCTTTTTCATCATCTGATTACTTTCCTCCAGCATATACTGTATTTCGTAGGGATCGGAATTATGAAGGCATGTCGGCGAACTTCGGGGGTGGTGTACTCATTGCTGTTAAAAAACATTTGCAGGCGGTACGGAGATTTGACCTTGAATTTAGCGGTGAATCTGTCAGGGTGGAAATAACTTTTGCCGGCTCCAACTTGCTCATTGGCACGTTTTACTTCCCGCCGAGCCTTGATGTCACCGGATTTTCGGAACAAATGAACCTGCTTTGTGATCAATTAGACGTCGACAAATACCGTATTCTTATTCTAGGAGATTTTAATGTCCCTGATATAAACTGGAATCTAGAGCACCCTTTCTCATCTTCTGGTTGTGTAACATCTAAGGCGAATACTCTACTCTATTCTGTGAACTATCTAGGATTGAATCAGTTAAATAGTTTTCAGAACCCGGCGGGAAACGTACTGGACCTCGCTTTAGTGAACTTTCATGTTCATACCCTCGTACCGGTCTCTAAGCCCCTTGTTCCCCCCGATGAGTGGCATGTTCCCTTCTCCGCTTCCTTCAACGCTTCCTTCAGGACATCAAAGCATACAAGCTATGAATCATTCGCTTTTAATAGGGGTAATTATCTTGGCCTTTTCAGATTTTTAGATAGCGTTGATTGGGCACCAGTATATGAAACAACCGATGTAAATTGCGCTGTTGAGTTACTTACTAACTGTATTACGAACGCCATCGAAATGTTTGTTCCAAAAAAGTGTCGTCACTCATCCCGCTATCCTCATTGGTTTTCGCACGAGCTTAGGTCCGAGCTTAGAAAAAAACTGCACTACCATAGGAAATATAAGGTTAAACAAACACAGTTTTGGTATAATAAGTTTTCCAAATCACGAGCGTTAGCTAAAGTGTTAATCAAGAGGGACAAAGAATCTTATCGAGAGTCAGTTGAACGCAGCTTAAACCGCGACCCCAAGTATTTCTGGCGGTATGTCAATGATCGCATGACCACGTCCTCTCCTGCGATAAGCCTATGTGACGCATCTGGTAAAGTGCTGAATGAACCTGCATGTGTGTCAAACGCATTCGCTGATTATTTCGAATCTGTCTACTCCTCAAACCAAGCTACGCCATGCACGCCAGATGATAGTAGCAATTTTAATGATAACCTCTCGATAACGTCTTTTCAAAGCGCTGAAATCAAGATTGCGATAAAAAGACTAAAACCCAAGATATCAATGGCATTTGGTGGCATCCCAAGCTTTATTGTTAAAGGTTGTTCCTCCATTTTTACGCCGATATTAACTCATATTTTCAACTTGTCTCTGTCAAGTTTTACTTTTCCTGAGCTTTGGAAAAATTCTGTCACTGTGCCTGTTCACAAAGGTGGCAAGACCGATGACGTAAAGAATTACAGGCCGGTATCCTTGCTTTGTGCATTTTCGAAAGTTTATGAAATCGTTTTGTTTGAACATTTGTCACAATTTTTTAAACGTAAAATTAGCATTTCACAACACGGTTTCTTCTCTGGCAGGTCTGTAGAGACCAATCTAATATCATTTTTAAACTTCGTTTCGCCGATTACCAATCAGCGTGGGCAGGTAGACGCCGTATACTTTGATCTATCGAAAGCGTTGGACTTCGTTAATCATTCAATTCTTGTCCATAAATTGGGGACATATGGAGTCAATAACCAGATTTGCAAATTTTTTTTGAACTATCTGATGGAAAGAAAAAACTTCGTTCGTATAATGGGACATCATTCTAAACCTTATGTGTCATTTTCGGGTGTGCCACAGGGGTCCATACTAGGACCAATTTTATTCAATGTCTTTATAAATGATCTTGGTTCTTGTGTCCGCCATTCACATATTTTGCAATATGCTGACGACATCAAATTGTTTAGGCAGGTCTCATCCATCTATGACTGTGAAATGATACTGGAGGATGTTAATGCTGTGCATCATTGGTGTTGCCGCAATTTGTTAACACAAAATCCTAAAAAAACTGTAGTTATGTCCTTTTCTAAGAAACTGGAAATTGTAAGTTTTTGTTATTATCTTGAGAACCTACCTCTGCGTAGGGTTGAATGCACAAGAGATCTAGGAGTATATATTGATTCATCTTTGTCATTCAATGAACATGTTTCCAACATCACAAATGCTGCCTATCGGACGCTAGGTGTTATTTCGAGAATAACACGTGAATTCCCTTCGTCAGCTTGCATATTCATTTTGTATTTTTCATTAATACGTAGCAAGCTTGAGTTTAGTTCTGTTGTTTGGAATTGTATTGGTAATGCAAACCAAGCAAAAATCGAAAACGTGCAGAGACGTTTCTTCCGTATTGTATATGATCGCTATATTGGCCGCAGTGTTTATTATGAGTATAACAGGCTTTTACGACGATGTGATTGTACCACACTAAGCTCGAGAAGACTTGAGCGCGATCTAGTATTTTTGTATAAATGTGTTCATGGTTGCATTGACTGTTCGACCCTTACATCAGCTATTAGCATATATGTACCGCGAGTGCTTTTGAGGGTTAATCCCACTTTCTCAGTTCAAAAAATCAACCTCTCCAGTCCCATGAACCGCATCCAACATTTTTATAACAGGTTCAGTACAACCAGCATCGACATCGACATTTTCAACTCGTGTTCAAGCGTTTAGGTGTTCTCTGGTTGATATTTAACTGTTACCTATTTCCTGTTCCCCCATAATAGATATTAGCTGTTGCATGTGCTGTTGATTTCTTATGTGTGTTTCTTTTGACTCTGTGCATCATTACATAGGCTACTCGCCGTTCATGAGCACGAAAAATAAATGAATGAATGAATGAATGAATGAATGAATTATCATAGCACGGTCCGACGTTTAAACACCCTATAGTTAAGTACACGTTGTTGCGCAATATCAATATGCTGATCAATGATTGAATTTTTCAAGTACAATGTAGTTTCCTGCTAATTCCAATAAACTTATTGCTAGGAGAGGCGCTGCAGTGTACTACACTTTTATGAAGGTTGAGATTGCTTTATCGTGAAAAAAGGTGGTTACAGTTCGCCTTCCGCTTACCTTTCGGTACTTTTCAGACAAGATGGAGATGTTCATTTCGTTGTACATTGAGAAGATACGCCTGTGTTCTTGCGCCTTAAAGTGCTTAGAAAGTTTTAAAAAAAGCAAGCGAATAAGGGTTTTTATTTTTATATTCTCGAGATCTACCCGAATTTTCTCTCTTTTTTTTTGCAAGTGTTTTTTTTTATTTGTCTTTTTGTGATATCATGCTAGGGGCATGGAATCACATTAATAGGCCCGCAGGAACATTTTGACCAAAAATTAAGATTGGAATTCGCAGGAATAATTTCATAGATCACTCACACACAACAAGGGGGGATTATTGGAGTGAATGTAAAATTCCGACGAGGTTTCCTACGTAAGCCGCACTAATATATGTAAATGTTCGCCTATTTTTTTTTTTTTTTTGCCGTCTGGCTGATTTTTTGGTAATATCCATTTGAATAATAAAGCGAATAGAAGAATTGTTTTTTCTGAGTAGTCAGGTATCTGTGAGAAAGTGTTCCACGCTTTAAAATGATTATAAACATTTTGTCTGAGCATGTTTACCTAATGAATGTTCCCCTTCACTTGTCAATATAATGTGTTTAAGGCCATGTGGCGATATAAAAACGGAGGAAAGTTTTATGAAGGAGGGATAAGAAAGTGTGTGTTAAATTAAGGGAAGAATATTTTGTTTGTTAGTCAAAAAATATCATACATTCCACTTCGTATAATAGCTTCATCAAAAAGGCGTGAATATAAATATTAGTTTACGAAGAAAGCTTTTTTTAAATTAAATTCACATCTTGATAAACATGTTTACTGGGACTGGCGAGAAATATCATACTTCTGGACTAGTTTTTTAGCACTGCGGAACACTGTTTACACGAACTCAACAACAACGCTTCGCTGCATTTTACCTAGGCACACTGTTGAGAAGTACCAACTGTTATAGCTTCGGCTACAGCCCTAAATATTAGCGTTTGTTTTAATACAAGCTTTTTTGTGTGTCGCAGAGACAATTTGAAAAGAAAAAAAAGTAAAATTATGGATAGTTTGTTCAAGCTAAAATGTATCGCGTTGGATACCTAGTTCTAAAACTTCCCCAAATGCACAGAGGTAAGCGCTTTGTGAAATGTCTTGAACACAGAGACAAAAATTAAAAGTGTAAAATCCGTCTAAATTTTCTGGCATCTAAAGGCTTTTTTTCAGAAAAAGCATAAAACCACATGGCTCAATTACGAAATTTCAAATTGAATAACAAATAATTTACTTCAACGGAAGATAAGTGATACACTTTAGATTTACTACTGAAAGGCGTTATATATTACCCTTGCCAGTGTGGCCTCAAACTGCAATATAGTCTCAGAAAATTGCTGCAGCTTCTCATTCGTTAAGTTTGGCATAAAGATCTTCGCAGTTTCCGCAATGAGCTTATTGTATGCCACCAATATTTTCGCACTGACTTCTGTCGTCTGGTTAATCAGTTTGTTTCGGCCAACCCAGTTAAATTGAATTTGAGCTTGAGAAATATTTAATATTGAAATTAACGCGTTAATATCTAGCATATTACACATATATGCTTATAAATTGCATATTTAATATGTAGTGAAATATTTTACTTAAGGAATCATTAGTCACGCAGCTGCGAACCTACAAAGAAATTTAAGGTACTGTAACCCTTCTGTTTGCAGCTAACTCATAATATCTACAGCTATGTATCGAAACTACAAACAAACTGGGCCATATTTTTAAAATTTTAATGGTGTTTTTAATATATGTTCTCTTTTGCATGTGTGCGTTAACTGCGATGACGACATGAATTACGATACAACCATATTGTCCAAAATAATAAGTGTCCTTGTTTTAATATAGTTATGAAGTCGCAAGATATATTTAATATTACATTGAAACGTGAGCTCCAATTAATTTCACGTGTTTAATTCAATATCCGCTCTCAGCGGCTGAAAATTGCGACATTTTTTTATGAAATTACAATAAGCGTGTAGAAGAGCTACTTATAATTAATCACAGTGTTACACCCAATATTTTGGAGCAAAAAAAATAAGGACTTCTCAAGTCGAAAAGAAAAACAATAGTCGGAGAAAGTATTTATACTAGTTTTCTTTGACTTCAAAGGTTTCTTCTTTTTACAGCGATTTTAATTTTTTGCAATAATGTTATATAATAAAAACCCGTTGCTGGGGAATAGGCAGTGTGTGTATATTATTAAGCATGGAAACTTTTGGAACTCCAACTGAGCCTTTTAATTTCTTTGTATATCGTCTCTTTCCAGAAACCAGATAGAAATGCGTGGCTTCAGGTTGCCGAGGGGTTCAGCAGGAGCTGGCAGTTCTAGGATTGCCTTGGCGCTGTTGATGGGAAGCCCATCATGATACAAGTTCCTGTGAAATCTGGCAGCATGTACTTCAACTACAAGGTATGCCTCAATTTTAATGTTACATTCTTTGATTCATATCATTTTGTAGGGATAGAATTTTAATGCTTTTCCTTGCTGTCTGTGTTTACATTACCGTAAAATGCTGGGCAATCGCCCCCCCCCCCCCCCCCCCTATATTTAGAGATAAATTCCTCCGAAACATGGAGGGGGCCCCTGGTTGGTCTGAGACCAAAATTCAAAATGGCGTTCGCAAAATGGCGGCCAGTAAAACAGAAACCGAAACGGCCAGTCTGCATTATCTAAAAGAGAAAGAAGTTTAATTAATAACGCTCATTGTTTAATCTGCGAAAGATTCATAACAGAGTGTCTGCCGTTCGCATCATTCGCTGTCGAATCCGCAATAAGATTATTCGGAGTTCGAGCCAAAAATGAGATCCAGACATTGGGTCCTCAACTGGTCGGGGTCTTCAGGGACAACGTCGCCAATGTCAGAGAGCCGCTCGTGCAGATCGCCCTTTTCGGACCCGTCACTTGCGTTCGCGATGCCACACCCTTTGAATAAACGCGCGGCAGGTCCTTACGGGGCGGAAGAACACGCCTCGGCTACGAAGTCCAGGACGTTCTGCCATGAAGGCTGTCGCACTTTGCCTTTTGGAGTCCTTTTTTTTTTTAATAAAGGCCTTCCAGATCCTTCGAAGACTGGCCTTGAATGGTTTATTCCAGAACATGTCCGCGGGCTGAAGCAGACTGGGGCATCCAGCTGGCACGTACACGACGTCAGTATCGCACTTCTCGATTGTGAGCCGCCGGGGTCTGACGTTTGGACGCCTGGTCTAACACTAGCAGTCGCAGCACGTCGTCAATGTTTCGGACCCATATCCTCCCTAGTCACTCCTGGAACTTTGCGGTTGTCATCCATCCGTTCTTGGAAGCTGTGACGCACCGCACACGTTCGCTAGGGATGAAAAAACGAAGCAAAAGAAGGGTAAGCAGGAAAATCCCAGCAAGAACCTTGATGAGCCTCCGTATACCAGGTGAGCACCTTTTTGTAACTTTATGATTGAAGAATGCTACGCATTGTGAGGCCGCGCCTCTCAATGCGTAGCATTCCTCAATCATTAAGTCGTAAGCAAAAAGGCTCCCACCTGGTATAGGGAGGCTGATCAAGGCACTTGCTGGGACATTCCTGCTTGGCTCTTTAGGAATGACGAACACTGGTAGCTTGTGGCCATACGCGCAGGCTCCCAAAGCAACCGTGAACCCCTGCCTAGCACTGTTCTGGCTCCCATGAAGTTATTGGTTCTATTCGCAGGCGTGTCCATTCGAACCATTGTTTGGTTCATGTTTGCGATGTTGCACCGAAACTCTTTCCAAAGTTTTGTTGTAATAAAACTTCATACCTCTTCTCCCGCTCGCGCATTCTCTTACGGTCCAGCTTGAAATGGTACAAAGTCAAATACACATTCTGCCATTTTTCTGATGCCACTCCACGAATGCGATTTTCTTCTGCACTGTATACGAAGGCATAGCGCACAAAGACCAGAGCTCTTGACGCAGGCAAAGAGAGAATGGCGGTGTGGTGTCAGGTTCCTTTCCGTCTTGGATTGGATTCGCTTGACTTCATGTTGTCTCAAAGCACTGCCACAGCGAAAGAGCCCAGGGCAAAGCTAAACTATCACATATATATCTATTTTATATGAAAGAATCCTGTTACCAAAAGAAATCTATCAACGAACAAAAAACCACCGCTGGGTTACGGTCAGTTTGTTCGACGGAAACCGAGGGCGGTGGCGGTGCGGGCGGGGGTGCTTATGCAGTTATTGCCAAAAGTATAACACTTTTCGTAAAATGGGAGGGGGGTGCTCACACAAGCGAGGGCACAGGCTCGGTATTTTACGGTACATCCATCATAGTACTTGCTCCACAATAAAAATAACTTTGCAAAAAAAAATTTTTTTTTTCATTAACACATATTTTTTTTTGCATGACCTGTGGCAATACTTACAGTTTTCTTAGCATCTACTTATTGCATAAACCCCTGAGCCTGGTACTTGTTTAAATGCAGTTATTGATAAGCCTACTGGTGTAATGCAGCAGAAGGTTTCATGGTGTCTTCTGTAGACAGTTCCTAGTCCTTTCTCTGTACTTTTCCCAATCCTAAAGGCAGTCAACTGGATCACAGAGATTTTTAACGATTTCAGTACAGAGCAGACATAATGTGGCTCAATTCGAACTGCTGATTGCTTACTGTCGAACTGTTGAAAATTAGGAAAACAATTTCGGAGGTTTATTGTCTCTTACATTGCCTAAAATAATGTTTTGTTTTTATTAAATATTTCATGGCTACGCACACTGCCTGTGAATAACACACTATAAATTTCAGGGGACCTACTCCATCGTGCTGCCTGCCGTAGTCGACAGCGACTACAAGTTTGTGATCGTGGATGTCGGTGCCTACGTAAAACAGAGCGATGGAGGAGACCTCAAGCAGTCCATTTTTGGACTACTCGAGGAAAGCCGTCTGGGGCTGCCCAGGGATCTACTGCTGCCCAATGCAAGGCAGCCTGCACCTTGTGTCTTCGTGGGGGACGAAGACTTCCAGCTCAGGCTGGATTTTCTCAGGCCTTACCCTGGACGTGGAGTTGATGTCAAAAAGCAAATCTTC